AAGGAAGGAAGGAAGGAAGGAAGGAAGAAAGGTAGTAACAAGTTAGTAACAAAACAAAGTTGGAGGTGTGAAGAAAATAAAAAACTTGTCATGTCATCACTTATCACCACCACAACGTACAGCAGTGGCACAGCTCAACAGGGTTGAACTGAAAGCATGTGAAGGTGCCTGTGGTAGCCACTATATTCCATGTATGACCCTGCAGAGCACAGCTCTAAATAGTATGAATTAGTTAGGGTTGATTTGAGAGGACAGAGTATTAAAGCACTGGAGGGCCAGAAATTAAAACCTTAGCTTGGAGTCAGATAGAGAACTGATCAACCAACTCAGCTCACTGTGGTGATTGGGATTCGCACCCCAGCCCTCGGAAGAGAGAGGCAAACATTTTACCACCCTACCAATGATCCTGAACCCCCATAAAAAGAGAWACACGTACAAGCAAACATTTTACCACAGTCATCAATTTTCTCGCTTTCTGATTGGACTAGAGCCGGGAGAAATAGAACATACCAATAAATTATGTGAGCAAAACACGCACATGTTTGAAATCATTTTTCTTTCAAATTTTCCCATCGTTTTTGCAATAAATTTTTTTTTTCTGTGGCCAATAACCTATTATCTCAAGTTTTCCGTGGTGTATCCTCTTATTTACCACTTTTTCCGTCATCTAGCCATCAAAATATGTTGTGAACTTCTTGCAATGCCTTGTGAGAGTTCCATTTTGAAGGCTGGAGGGAAAAAGTTGTGGTAAATGAGAGGATATACCACGGAACTCTGGTGGAAATTGGTTCATCATACCATTTTCCTCAATATACACAATCCCATCTCTCAATATTTTTGGCAGCTCAACTCCATCAGGGTACTTGCTTTGCTTCACTGCTTGAGCCAAAGGAACGCCAAAGATTGGATTCTCTATAAATGTAAAAAGATATATTTAACATATAAGAATATAAGAAGAATATATTTCATGTCAAGCACAGAAAAATAAGGTTTATGGGATATCGTAAAAAGACCAATAATTACAAACTTCCTTACACTGTGTTTATGTTTCCTTTAATCGTATTAACTTTTTGTATTCAACACACCAACACAGTCCCAACTAGTAATCACTAGTCATTCTTATTCGCTTGTTGTATTCAACACACCAACACAGTCCTAACTAGTAACCACTAGTCATTCTTATTCACTTGTTGTATTCAACACACCAACACAGTCCCAACTAGTAACCACTAGTCATTCTTATTCACTTGTTGTATTCAACACCCCAACGCAGTCCCAACTAGTAACCACTAGTCATTCTTATTCACTTGTTGTATTCAACACAGTCCAACACAGTCCCAACTAGTAACCACTAGTCATTCTTATTCACTTGTTGTATTCAACACAGTCCCAACCAGTAACCACTAGTCATTCTTATTCACTTGTTGTATTCAACACACCAACACAGTCCCAACTAGTAATATTACTAGTCATTCTTATTCACTTGTTGTATT